CAAAGAATACCAAAAAGAAGTCAGTCTGCGCCTCGTCGATTATAGAAAAGTCTTTGTGTCGATCACATCAAGTTGTGGAAAGTGCTCAGAAAAATGGGAATCCCAGAACATCTCATTGTCCTCATGAGAAACTTATAAACAGGTCAGGAAGCCACAGCATGGACAGGACTTGGCGAAACAGACTGGCTCTAAGTTGGCAGAAGAGTGCGACAAGGCTGCATACTCTCCCCTTATTTATTTATTCAACCCATATGCTGAATATATATTAAGGGAAGCTGGATTGGAAGATGAGTGTGGTTTTAAAATTGGAGGAAGAAACATCAATAACTTGCACTATGCTGATGAATGCGCAAATGTTCTGGGAATTCTAGTAGTGAAAGTCAAGGAATGAAAAGTGGATCTACAATTGAATGCAAAGACCACCAGACTAATGACTCTTGGCACAGCAACTGGCAACTGGCAATGAAACACTGAAGTGGTCAATGGCTTCTGTCTTTTAGCACTTAGTAGGATAGCAGTGAAGGTCCTGGAAAAGATGTTCTGATACCTTGATGGTCTATACCCACAAAGATCATAATGATGCGAGCAATCATTTTCCCTATGGCTGTCTATCAAACAGAAGTTGGACTTTGAAGAAGCAGAATAGAAGGAATATTGATGCTTTTGAATTTGGATGTTAGAGACGATGCCTGAGAATACCATGGATAGGCAAGAAAACGAATATAAAAGTCACTCGCAGAGTTCTCAGTCGAGGCACAGAAATGACCAGGCTCGAATTATTGTATTTTGGACACAATATGCAAAGGCGTAGCTGTCTGGAGAAGTCTATAATCCTGAGAGTGGCAGAAGGAAAGAGAAGAGGACAACCAGCAGCAAGATGATGGACTCATGTACAGGGTGCAGCACTGGAAGACCTGAAGGATCAGTTCATCCTAGAGAAGGTCTGTCTATGTCAGTGTTGTCCAAACTTGGCCACTTTAAGATGAGTGGACTTCATGCTGGCTGGGGAATTCTGGGAGTTGAAGTCCACTCATCTTAAAGTGGCCAAGTTTGGACAACACTGATCTATGTGGTTACTAAGCTTCAGTACAAACTTGATGACACATAATGAATCAGTTGTTAAGAATTCTAACAATCTGTGGTCACTTGCATCCAGAGTTCCCAACTCTTTAATACCGTCAATCATCTCCCTGTTTCTAAGGACCAAATCCAAGGTAGCAAGTGGTTTAGTACCCACCACAGCCTTTTGAAACAGGAAATGATTACTGATGTAAGTCAGCACATTTTCTGACATCCTGTTTCTGGCAGAATTAATATTCCAACAGATGCCTGGGTAGCTGAATTTTCCCACCATAGTAAGCTGCTTTAATACAGCTTCATTTACTTCTTCTGACCGTCTCCTAGCAAAATCGCTCTCCTGTTGGGTCTTCTTTTCTTAATCCT